CATGAGATGGGGGTGGGAAGCACACATGCACATGGGCCTGGGGTTCTGCTTTGATTGGAGCTGAGGCTGGGAGCCTAGAGTTTCACTGGCTCACTCTTTATTCATGAATTTAAAATACAAAAACTGAATTTAAAACTTGGAAAGAGTAAAAACAAGCAACTCAAAGGTTTGGTTATTGAGATCAACTAAAATGTCTAAAATAAAGGCACCCAGTGGAGGGACGTGGTCTGTCTCTTTATCAAGCCCTGCAGCTAACAACGTTTATTGGAAACTAGAGGCCCAGTACATGAAATTTGTGGATGGGTAGGGTACCTAGCTAGGCCTGGCCAGTGAGCAGGGCTGATCAGGGCTTTTCAGCTGCCGGCAGGAGCCACCCTTCCCTGGCGGCTGGCGTCATTCTGCACCGCCCCCTGGTGGTCAGTGCACATCACAGTGAGCGATGGAACTCCAGATGGAACTCCCATAGAACTCCCAAGGGGACACTTTGTATATTAGCCTTTTATATATATACAAGTAGCTAGGCATCCTTGAAGTGGATATCTCAGCAATAAAAGTGTAAGCGAGGCACTTACATTACAAAAGAAAAAAAATTATCAAAGTTTATTCTGCAAAGGTCTAACAGGTGAATGATTACACAAATCATGATACATCCATACTAAGAAGTACTGCTTAGCAATAAAAAGGAACAAACTATTGATACACACAACAACTTGGGCAGATCTCAAGGATACTGTGTTGAGTGACAAAGCCAATCTCAAAAGTCACATACCATAGGACACCATTTATGACACTATTTATGTAACATTATAAAAAACGACAAAGTTAAAGACATAAAGAAACTACTAGTTGCCAGGGGTTAGATAGTGGGGAAGGAGTAGGTAGGTGTGACTACAAAGAGGGTGCATAGAGCAGATCTCTGTGATTATAACACTAATTCCATATCTTGACTGTGGTGGTGATTACACAAGTATACCCATGTGATAAAATGGTAAAGACCTGTACACAGACCAATATCAATTTCCTGGCTAAATGTAACCAATGGGGGAAACTGGGTAATCTGTATACAGAATCTCTCTGTACTATCTTTGCAATTTACCGTGAATACATAATTATTTCAAAATAAAGTTTTAAAAAACACAATGTTAAATCATCCAAAAGTTTGTAAAACATGAATTTATAATTTTGTTGAAAGAGTGATATAATGCGAAGTGAAAAACCAAAGAGTGTTATGGGTAATCATGGTGCAGCCTAGAAAGAGCTAAAGAGTTTGTTCAATGCCCCCAAACAAATAGTTCAAACATTTATTGAATACCTAGTATATGCAAGATGGTATTGTAAACAGTACTGGGATTAAGAAAAAGAAATTAATTTACTAAGAAGACAAGATAGAATAATTATTAAAGGCACGGAGTTTCTGCAAAAGCAGTTCCCTTTGCCTGGAAGGTTCTTCTATTTTTCTATAATAGTTTGTTCTTACCCATCTTTGAACTCAGATCATTGTCATTTCTTCAAGGAGACCCTGACTAACTCTCCTAACGGCCCTCCACATTAGATCAAATTTCCCTACTACATGCTTGTACCAGTGCCCTGTATCTTTCATCCATAACACTAACAGCCATTCACTAAGAACTGTGTGTGATGACTTGACAACTATTTCCCCCATTAGATTAAAATCTCCAAAAGGGCAGCAACAGATCTGTGTAACTCACCACTGTACTTCCAAATCCAACAACCATGCCTGGGAAATGACAAAAGCTAAAAGTATATCACATGAATAAATCTATACAAAGCTATAATTCATATGTACAAACGATCAGGCAGACAATTAGTTACTGGGGTTTAGAAGAACCCTAAATCACTTCAACTTGAGAAAGCCAGTTTATATGGTATAGAAAGTTCACGTAGAAGGATAACAATCTTATACCCAAGGCTGAAAATGAAAGGTCAGCCCTTGGGCAATAAAAACCCAATAAAGCCTGGCTAACATGGCTCAGTGGTTGAATGCTGACTTATGAACCAGGAAGTTATGGTTCAATTCCTGGGCAGGGCATATGCCCAGGTTGTGGGCTTGGTCCCCAGCGTGCGGTGTGCAGGAGGCAGCCGATCAATGATTCTCTCTCATCATTGATGTTTCTGTCTCTCTCCCTCTCCCATTCTCTCTGATATCTTCTATCTATCTATCTATCTATCTATCTATCTATCTATCTATCTACCTACCTACCTACCTACCTACCTACCTACTAGTGTACATATAAAATTGAAGCAGGGATGTGGCATGTCTAATGTGTTTTATAGAAAACTTAATGTGGAGAATGAACTTGAACTGAAAGAATAAGACAATAGAGACAGTAAAAATATTTGAAAGAACACTGTAGTAATGCAGGCACAAAATGAAAGGGAACAGACAGATGTGAGAAACACTAAGAATAAAGAGCTATCAACACTTAAGAATTAATTAGATAGAGGAGTATAAAAGGGGAAAGAGTCCAAGATAATTCAAGGGGTTTATAGTGAGTGATCAGTTAAAGTATCATTAATAGAAATGGGAAATCATGACCAAGTCTTAGGGCAGTGGTCGGCAAACCCATTAGTCAACAGAGCCAAATATCGACAGTACGACGATTGACATTTCTTTTGAGAGACAAATTTTTTAAACTTAAACCTCTTCTAACGTCACTTCTTCAAAATAGACTTGCCCAGGCTGTGGTATTTTGTGGAAGAGCCACACTCAAGGAGTCAAAGAGCTGAATGTGGTTAGAGAGCCGCAGTTTGCCGACCTCAGTCTTAGGGGATGGAATGTGCTTATTTGGAAGTGATGGGTAACATCCACATAATTAAAGATGTGAGACCAGATGGAGAAAAATCAAGGCTGGCAAGGTATATGGTATGAGCTGATTACAGTTAAGGTTACTAGAGTGAATAAGATCTCTCAAAGGGAGCAGATTTAAAAAAAAAAAAAAAAAAAAGGCCTTAATAAAAGTCCTTTAAAACCATTTGATTTGCCCCTTGCTTGAATTATGTTTATCAAGCTATAGAGTCATTCAGACTGAACTCCCTAAGGGCATGTTTGCTCTCATCCTTGCATTCTCTCAAGTATATATTACAAGTGCAGAATAAGTAGTCTATTAAGGGAGTCATTTATTTTAAAGATACTTTCTGATTAATATGTCCTGTTCCACCTGCACTTTGTATTTCAAAAGGTGGTGTCCTAGGTAGTACTTTGAAAGGAACAGTCTTCACTTGAGTATAATCAGTGAGTTTAGACAGTTTAAGACTTCATTTATCCAAAGATCTTATTTCCCAAGGCGCTAAGAAAGTGAGGGGGGAGGGGAAGGTAGCACTTTCGACAGCAAACTACTGAGCCAGAGAAACCAGACTTTGAGACTGTGAAAATAAATAAAGCTCCCAGTGAGACTAGGACTTAAGAAAATCCCCACAAGAAGTAGGGAACATTCTTTAAGAAGGTTTTGAATAAAATTAATCAGAAACTAATTACTGAGGGAGTGAAATAAAAAATTGAGTGAAATAAAAAATTTCAACTGTACGCACTCTACACGTTGGCAAAGTACAAAATGTAAATAAGTTTTCGAATGCAGTGAAAGATAAATGAGATAATAAAAGGGAACTGAGAACAGTGTAGACACATACATTCTTAAAAACATGAAGGGAAAGTCATTGGCTTGCTCTCCCATAAAACATTTCCTGATATTCCGGTCAACGGTGGAGTCCTGGGCTAAATCTGATTCAATACTTAGGCAAACAGTATTTCCCAGGTGCAGATTAAAAATAAGAAAAAGGACTATTAAAATGGATCAGGGGAGAGAAACTTGAAGACAGCCCCAAATTAAATGATCAAGGTTGCAGCATGCCAAAATGCTCTAAGCCTGAATCATAAGCAAATGTCCCAGGACCAGGTGCTTCGGGAGAGCTGAGCGTGTGTGTGGGAGAAGTTCGGGGAAGAGAAAAGAAACCGGTTGGAGTCACAGACTTCAGGAACCTGACAGAGTCATCTATAATCTAACTACCCTCTCCATCTCAGACTGACTTCCACCCCAAGCCTAAAAGATCGCCAACCTGGGGGCACCGGCTCATCCCCAGAGACAGCAAATGGGACTATCGATAAACGGACCGTTCAGAATGAGACGGATCTAACTTGTTGCAAAACCCTTTGAAGGTATCGCCCAGTAGTAACTTTCACCTCTGGCCCTGGATCTCTCCCGAGCAACACAAGGAAAGCCCTGTTCTGTTGAAGCTTAAAACCACCACCACCACCACCACCACCACCACCAGGTATTACTTCCAGGCATGACAATATGTTCCCTTCTTTCAATAATAGGAAAACTGGATCGTCCTTCGTTTTCTATATCTGAGTGCCCCTTAAAGGAAAAGAAAAAAAAAATGCCAGGCACAAGCTAAGTTCCTTTAGACTCTGGGCTGCAACCTCCAGAGTAGAGAGAAGGGGCTTAAGTAACTCACACACCAGACGTTGCAACTGATAGGAAACCCCATGGCCATGGCCAAGAAGCAAGCTCCGGACAGTGCCCCGGGTGCCGGGACGCGACAGAAGCCACACAGACCTGGGGTGTGCGGAGAACGAGAAGCCCGCACCTCCGTTGGCCTAAGCCGCGGGAGGCATGGGGGGTGCTCCTCCCCGGGCCGCCCGCACGCCCCGCGCCCCAGGGCAGAGCTCCCGGCCCCGGAGGGAGAGGCGGCGCCGCTCCGGGAAGCGCTGGCTGATCCCAAGCCGCGACCCGCCCAACCAACCACCCGACCCGCCCGCTGGACGCCGCCCCGAGAACCTGCACCGGTGGGAGCTCTGGGAGTCGGAGACGGCTCCGGCTCGGCCCGGGTTCCGTCCAGCACACCCGCCTCCCTCACTGCCCCGCGCAGAGCAGAGTCGGGGGGTGACCCCAGGGGGTGGTGCTCCAGAGGCGTACGGCATTTGGGGGTGAATGCTGCGCGCCGGGCCCGAGCTCCCAGGCTGGCGGCGGGCCACTCACCGAGAGGACGCTCATGCGGATTGGGGTCTCCAACAGGCACGCCATCTTGAGCCTTCCCACCCGGCTGCAGCGGACGCCGGCGCGGGGGCCGGCACTTTCGACAGCAAAAGTATTGGGCCCCACCGCAGGTATACTAGTACGGAACGTCGGGCGGGTAGACGAGAAATGGACCACGCTCTAGACCCTGCGGGAGGCCGGCCAGGCCCCGCGGAAGGGAGAACAAAGGGACGCCGCGCTGGGGGGCCGCCTCACGAATCGTCCGCTGGGAAACAGCAGCTACGCTCGGCCTGGGCTAGAGGTGGGAGCGGACGGCAGTCCCCGCATGCGCACAGGGCATCTGCGGGCCCCACCTGCCGCGCGCGGGGGCGGGGCCTCGGGGGCGGGGCCTCGCTTCGCCGCTCCTAGCCCCGCGTACCGATTGGTGGGAATGAGTTCCCGTGTTCCTAAGCCTGAGCACCCGTGTGCGGACCCACGCCTGTCGTTGGAAGCACGTTGATCGCGCTCCTTCTTTGCACCCGACTTGTAGCGTCGCTATCTCTATCTTACAGGCGGAGGAACCGCGATCTCAGTTCATTGGCCTTCAGCCGCCCAGTAAGTTTCATCATCCGACGCTCCAGTGTGGCCGGCTTTAGCCTTGTTTGGCCTTACCCGCCTATTCCGTTGCTGTGTTAGGAGATAGATACTCGATGCCAAAACCGGTTTGGGTTTGGCTCGGTGGATAGAGCATCGGCCTGCGGACTGAAAGGTCCCAGGTTCGATTCCCGTCAAGGGCATGTACCTTGGTTGCGGGCACGTCCCCAGTGGGGAGTGTGCAGGAGGCAGCGGATTAATGTTTCTCTCTCCCCTCTCTCGAAGTGAGAAACATCGATCAGCTGTCTCCTTTTGTACACCCGCTACTGGAGATCGGAATGGAACCTGCGGCCTTTCAGTTCTCAGGCTGACGCTCAATCCACTGAACAAAACCGGTTTCGGGTAAAAAAAAAAAAAAAAAAAAATTTTTAAAGAGAGATACTCGAGTCAGAACGTCTGGGTTTAATCCTTGCTGCTACATTTACCGGCTGCATTGCCTGGGCAAGTTACTTAGCCTCCTTTAAGTCAGTTTTATCTTCTGTTAAAAAATTGTTAGGAGGATGGAGAAGGTAAAGCTCTTAAGACATGCCTGGAGTGTAGAAAGCATTATATATGTTAGCATTTCTCCAGCTTTTGGGTCAAGTAGGGAAAAAAAGGGCGACACATATCTGAATAATTCACACTAAAAACACTCTGATAACTGAAGCCAAATGAAAATATGCTTCTAACTACAGTGTCTCTGATGGATGAGCTCACTTCTCCCACTTCGTGTGTGTGTGTGTGTGTGTGTGTGTGTGTGTGTGTGTTCGGACAGGTTTCACCTTCGTGCTGCTGGTAACCAGGAAGGTTTTTGCAATGAGCCTGTTCCGTTACTTGTTCTTCCATTTCTAGAAGCCACTGTCTAACTCAGGCTGTTATTACTTCTCCCCTGGGCTACAGCAATAGCCTTCCAACTGATCTTGTAGCCTCCACCCTCTCCTAAACTTTGCTCCTTACTGCTTTTCTAACTCCCCCTGTACTTGGCTTCTAAATTTATTGTAGCATTAACAATAAATGGACCCATCTCTGCTTATGGGTCCATGTGTTCCCAAAAAAACTGTTGAGTGTCTGGAAAGCAGGAAATTTTGTTTTAGATTTTCCTTCTGCTACAAGACTATTTCTCAAACGTTAGTAATCTGCATACCATTCCCACGATCTTTGCTAATCTGCACCCGAGTATTATTATTCACTCAATATCTTTCTAAAGCTAATTTAAAACCATTAAATAATTTTTTTATTGATTTTTTTACAGAGAGGAAGGGAGAGAGATAGAGAGCTAGAAACGTCGATGAGAGAGAAACATCGACCAGCTGCCTCTTGCACACCCCCTACCTGGGATGTGCCCGCAACCAATGTACATGCTCTTGACCAGAATCAAACCCGGGACCTTTCAGTCCGCAGGCCGACGCTCTACCCACTGAGCCAAACTGGTTTTGGCCATTAAATAATTTTACCCTCATCCTAAACCGTAATACTCTTGTAAAATCAAGTTTATTGTATTCTTTATTTTTATTCTAGTATGTATTAACATAACTACTACAAAATTTAGAAGTCCATCCATGTATCACCTAAAATCATGTCTTGTATTGCATACTCAACAGCACAAAACATAACCATTACACAGCTTATACAAGGGCATCAGTTGGTTTTTCAGATGATATTTGCATGGTATAGAGTTTGATAGCTATGTTTGGTCCACACTTTATCTATTCGTTCAAGCCATACATCCTTTCCCCACATTCAGGTTAGGTGTGTTTCTTCATCCTTCTGTTTTTGCCAATAACACAGCATTTCTAACAATATAGTGTAATAATTGTTTGCTTGTTGGTTTCCCCTTTAAACATGATATAGCAGGCACTGGGAATTTTATCTTCTATGTATCTTGTCTCACTATGTACCTTAGAATACTCAGTAAATGTTTACTGAATGAATTTTTGGCTTAGTTTAGGTGCCACAAAAGGCAGATCCTGGGACAATGATTTGGATACTCATAGTTTGAGAAAAGTTTCCAAGGAACTGAAGTGATGGGTCAGGGAGAGTGAGAAAAGAAAGAAGAAAAAGACAATATAACCATGTATTATTAAAGTTATGTTTATTTCTTTAAGACCTCTGAGAAACATGCAGAATGGCCCCCTGGGTATCCATCTTGAGGTTGGAGCATTTATTTTCCATTTGCATCCTGTTCAACCTTGTTGAGGTTTTCTCCGGGGCTGGTAGAGCTTCCTATCATCCTGAATTGTACTTGTGCCCAGATTAGAGAGGACTTCCTTACTTGATGTAGAAAAGCAGAATCTGTAGGTAGGTGTGTTTCACAAAGGAGAAGCAAAGATAATTTATGCAGTTGAAATCTGATCTTTTCACCCTTTTCCATTCAAGAATGGAATCTGGAGGTCACAAAACTTATAAAGGAGTGATATTGTGTGTCTGTCTGTGTGTATGTTTTCTGATGAAATCAGAAAGTCCGGTGAAATGTCTGACACGTTTAAGATTCAGAGGCTAGAGACACCACACAGAACTCTTTTTATCCTTCTAGGATGATGTCTGCTTCTGTTCATTTCTGTCTGTCAAGGCAGACGGGCTCTCTCCAGAGTTTTCCCAAGTGTGCTGCCATCTGGCGGTAGTAGGTGTCATAATCACCAAGTTCAATTACAAGATCCTGATAGCAAGAATGTATGTTTTTCCTGATGTTTGTAACATTTTATACACTCACTTGAAAACTCATTGACCACAAATCTCCATAGCTCACTCCCCTATTCATGAAGGTTTCTTTTCAATATGTCACCATATCATAATGGTCTTCCAGAAGCATCTATATTTATTCATTAAGTACCCTACTACCCTCACCATGACATTTTTTATCCACTTAATCTGCGCTATTTTCAAACATCTATTTTTTTAAACACAGTTCTTACTCCCTGAGTCATTAATTTTTCTCCAACTCTTGTTTGGCTAGATTTTACTGTCAAGCCTTCTCCTCCTCCTCCTCCTCTCCCCCTTTCTCTGCCCCCCCTCCCCAAAATTGGCCCGTGGGAATTGTATCCCTGGATTATTATTTTAATGGTTGAAAACAGCTGCTTGTTCACTTTTTCTTGAACATATCTTGGCTAATACCACATACAGGAAAACAGGACACATTTTAAGTATTTTAAGCAAAAAAGATTAGAAAATTGTTGCAAGAACTAAAGATGCAAACTGGGAGGGAGAATTTTACTTGAGATCAGGAAAAACAGGAAGTTCACACCACTGAGGGAGCCTGGGGTGCTGAGTTGCCACAATCATTGCCAAAGCCAGAAGAGAAAAGAAATCTTTCTTCTACCTTCTACTCTCTGGCGAGAAAAAATTATGAGGTATTCTAAATTAAAAAAACACCACCACACAGCTGCCTGAGTGAATAGTTAGCCTCTTAACAACTGTGGACCAGCTCTGATAATCCCAGGAGCCTCACTTCTTATTTACTCATGACCTTTCCAATCTGCTGCCCACAGTGAGCCCAGAGGTGTGGACACTTCTTTGAGGACCCTGTTGCACCTATCCCAGAACTAGCTCCACTTCACTTTCTCCCATCCCTTTTGTCTATAGCTAATGTAACTCCTTTCAGAAAGGTTTACATCTTCCGCCCCTACTTCATGTCTTAAAGCACTTGCAAAAATCTGGGACAAAAAGCATGTCTTTCCTGCCTAACCATTTTATGGGTAGTTTAGATATTATGCTCCAAGATGAATTTTTTTCCCTAGCAATGGTCTAATAAACCTTTTCTCTTAAAATGACTTTCAGCCTTGGGAACTAATTTTTGTTGTTGTTCAACATCTTACAAAAGTGTTTTTCATTTGCCAAATTCTCAGCTGGCAAAGGGTGTTTAAGAAATATATAAATGGATTGGAAATTGCTGGGCTATCCCATCTAGGTTTGTGAAACATCTGTGAAGTGCACCCAGACAAAAATCACCTAGCAATGCGTTTCTCAGAATGTATCCCTCCCTGTTAAGGAGTGCAAGGCTGTATTATCATTTCTATGAAGTTTAAAAACAAGCTAAAGGTGGTGAATGAGGTTAGAATAGTGCTTTCCTTTCATAGTAAGGGACTTGAGAAGAAGCACGAGGGAATCTTTGGAAATGCTGTAAATAGTTTATATTTTGAAATGGGTGGTGTTATTACATATGCAAAAAGGCACCAAAATATGCATTTAAGATTGGATTTGTTCATATTACTTTAAGTTAGCCCTCATTTAAAGTGTCTTACATAGAGGAAAAGATCCAGAAAAAGACAATTCTTATAGATTCAATATCAAATGAGAAAAATTAATTTAGCAATGTTATATATTTTAAAAATCCAGTACAAAAAGAGAATAAAATATTAAAAATAATGGAAAATGTTAATTTTCCATCTTTTCTACCCTTCTGATCATTTTAAATATCATAAAAATTATATGCTCCTTAT